TAGACTGTAGCTGACGTGAATTCATTTTCGGATTTCCACCATTATCAAACGTCACAAAAATTTCTATATTGTGAATCATTTCATTTCATTCGTTGAGATAAAAACTAATTTTTAAAATTTTAGCCAAAAATAAAAGACGTTTTAGGTATAGAGTCGTACCAATATAATTTAAAAACATTTCCGAAAATTTAAGAGAACAGGGTTTCAATTTTCCTTATAAAGCGGCACGAACTTACTGGGCAACCCAATATTTTTCTTCTCCTGTCATAACGCTTAAATATATTATAAAAGTTTGTCACGCCGAATATGACAGATACGTATTAACTAATATTAAATTTTGCCTTGTCACAATATATATAATACTAGTTTGGCGCAGTATTCTAGTATGTTTGCCGTAATATGTAAGTTTACCGGTTCGAATCTCAGGCTACTTTTTTTTCATTTTATCAATCACGGGGTTATTTTTTCATAACCAGTAAAAATTTGGTAATGTAAAATTTTGCTCGACATTTTTTTTTTATAATTTTCGCTGTCGGGTAGAAAGAAATTTAAATAAAGTTAACAACAATTAAGTCAGACCATCGCCGGTGAAGTGAGTGGGCGGAGCGTGGATTGTCTTTGTGGGTTTTAAGAATGGTACGCCCACGCACACTGGAATGTTTGTTGCAATCGACCAAAAATTTGATGTAGTTTGGATATTGACATTCAGTTTTTTTTCTTTGTTTCTTAAATATAATCAGTATCAGTAAAAGGTAAAAGTAAAAGTGTTATTTTTATCGGTACAAGTTTAACAAACATGAGTAATAAGACAAATTACATGTCAATATCATCGCTTTATCTCCTTCATTTTTGTTTGAAATAGAAAAGTACTTTAACGGTCAAACTCAGTCCAAGGCAATATCAAAATTACCTAATAACTACGGCGATAGAGTTTAATTACATGTGCTTCGATATTAAAATTAAAAAGTTAAAATATCAAAAAAAAATAGTTGCTTGGGATTTGAACCGCCGAACTTACGTACCAACCGCGGCGAACGGTAAGGCAACGAGACCAAACTAGCATATATGATGACAAACTTAAATTTGATGTTGGTTTTATCTACCTAATATCTGTCATCCGCGTCGAACACTTTTAGTAAATTTTGAAAAATGGTTTGATGCAAAGTGTCAAATGAATGTAACAGAAGTAGTTTATTCCAAGTTGTATCACAAGTATATAGAGATAGAGTTCAATTTTGTCAAATGTACCGATATTTTTGAGCACCTTGACTGCTTCGTTACTTATGACGCTGTGGCTGCTACGATATTTATGAGCATTTTGCATGTACTCATATATTTGACGCTGTGTATGTACCGATGTATTTGAGCAGGGTGAATGTATCTATTATTTTGAGGACTTTTGTTGTACCGATATAATTGATTACTATTGATGTACCTATATATTTGCATATCTTGTCTGTGACGATCTATATGACGCTGACTGTACTAGAGAAATTATAAATTAGTAAAGTTACATTTAACATTGTTATAAAAACTCTTAAATACATTGTCTATAATATTTTGCACAACCATGTGCAACATTATTTATTAAAATAAAAAAAACATGACATGTGATTAGTCTGAATGTTAGCTGCTCTGTGCAAAACGTGCATAGTTGCAGAGCACGATTTGTAAAAGCTAAAGCCCCGAGTCTTCAGTAGTACAACATGCGATGCAGGCAGATGTAGGAAATTGGAAGTTTACGTTGATAAATGTATTTTAAAATTTTCCGTTCTACACAATTTTACTTCTGTTTAAGAGAAAGACACTGGAGATTCCGCAAGATGTTTAACATAAAAGGTTTTATTGCAACAATGATATATAGCACTGATTCGATATGCATTTCCTTTCTAACAGAAGAGGGCAAACGAACAGCGGCAACACCGAGGTTTTGTATTAAACTAGCTGTCGTCCGTAACTCCGTCCGTTCGGGATTTAAAAAAAAAATATCCTGTGTGTTCTCCCAGACTATGCTTCATTTGTTTAAATTTCATTAGGATCTGGCTCTACGGATGATTTTCGGCGACACCTTCTAACAAACATACATATTCATCCATCCATCATCCATTAGTAAATATGTTCAGTCATATTATTTATAAACAGTCATTTAATATTACCACAACAAGTAATAAAAAAAACATTAATCGTATAATTAACATTTCAAATTGTTTCCCTGTATCACAAAGCCGGAATTAATAATGACCACAGAAAAAACAGATTCAAGTGAACACGAATACTCGAACGTTTTAATTAAATGAAATCAAAGTGAATGGGAAACGCTTCCGATTCCCAGTCGATTAGGCTTTTGTAATCGACGATACTCCAAAAACTGTCGTTGTTGACAATCCCACTTTAGCAATTGCTCCGAACGACGTTTTACAACTTTCCTTTTGCTTAATTAAAAGTTTCCGCCTCCAATTTCGTAAAGTTGAACAAATTATTTCGAGCAATTTGAATTGTCAAATTGTCAATTACACCTTGGCGACAAGACGATCGTGATTTAGGGCAATTTTTTTTTAAATATTTAAAAAAAAGCTAATCTTTATAAAATAAAACCTGCCTTGAAAATGCTTCAATATATTTATTAATTGTGTACGAGCCCATTACCCCAATAATTACTGTTTAAAAAAAAATAGAGTTTGTTGTGTAAATAGTAAAATAGAACAGGTAAAAAAACCTTAACTTATCAATAACAGTAACCTTTAATTTACCAGAAAATTAAAAAATGCACTCTTAAGAAAATATAAAGGAAAAACTAACCATAAATTGCAACGTCGCTACCGTAGAGGTCGTAAACCCTTCATACGCACCATTAACTACGAAGGGAAGCCAAAATCATACGTCACGATACCGTATATGAAAACTATAAAAATCATTCGGTTAGAAAACAACGCCTGATAACGGAAAACAAAAAGCTCTATGTCTCTACCTTTGAGTTTTAAAAGACAAGACCTGTCAAGCTCACGTTCCCATCTGTCAAACAAAACCCAACAATAAGTCCTAAACTAACTTACGTAAATTACTCACACATCACTACGTGTTTTGTGTGTGTAATTTGTTTAGTAAATATCTGTTGATAAAGACGTCATCATCATCATCATCATCTCCCTGTTCTTGTCCCAGTTACCTAGGGTCGGTTACCAGGTTTCCGTCCAACATATCAATCTATCTACGTACATATAAGTATGATATACACGTGTATGATTGTCAAATTTACTTTAGCTGACACCAATAATGATGGAATTTATATAGTTAAACGATTGTTCTTTGTCCAGTCCGTTTATCTATAGTCAAAATTGCCGCTACATCAAGCATGAATCTTATCTGTTTCGGAACTCGAACAAACAAACGTTTGTCTCAGAGTTAAGTCTGTGGAGATTATTTGTAACGAGATAAGAGGTCAGTGCTTTCATTTTGAACTATATATTTGTTTAGATTGTTTTGATAAGGGCATTAAATATTCGTTGTTATCACAAACACTTACAAGTTCTAATAATAAAACTATAGAGACGATGTTTTTTAATTGTTTTTTTTTTAATATAGAACACAGTGTGGAAGAATACATAGGTTACTCATTAACTTTTTTTTATTCCGCGCGGACGGAGTCGCGGGCGACAGTTAGTCATACTATATATATTTGCAATTGACTTATTTCGAAATTATAATGACAAATATATCAAGGCATCAATCAAAAACTCTTTCCTACTAACGACGCAAAAACTTACCGTCAACATGAATAATGTCTACGTAAATGAAATCTCACGGCTATAAAGAACAGATGACGATCTCACGGCCAACTCAGAGTTTAATTCCGCTCCGTTGCCGACACTCCGAAGAACTTTGGTACTTCGAACTGTGAGTTTTAGAGTTTCTGTGCAAACGCTTTTAAGTTCTAAAAAATCTACTATATCACTAACAGTAATAATATGATATCTATATTAATAAAGCGGAAGCTATAAGATAAAGCGGAAGAGTTTGTTTGTTTAAACGCGCTAATCTCAGGAACTTCTGGTCCGATTTGAAAAATTCTTCTTTTGTTGGATAGTCCATTTATAGAAGAAGCCTTTAGGCTATATAACATTACGCTGCGACCAATAGGAGCGAAGCGTCAGTGAGAAATGTTGCAAAAACAGGGAAATGTATTCACATTTGCGGACTTTCGTTGCGTGCGCGGCATAAACGGTTTAAGTTACTCAAAAAATATGTTTGAAAGAAATATTCTGATCACTATATATAAATAAAATGTATGTGTAATAAAATGTGTCAACATGTAGAACATAGTCTGGACGAGCACATAGGCAATTAATTAAGTTTTCTTTTTAATTCCGCGCGGACGGAGTCGCGGGGGACAGCTAGTTGATCATAAGTGGGGAGGGAATTTAATTCTTTGACTGTAATGATTGTCTTATAAAGTCAAAAACTTATAGAAATCACCGAAATAAACAAGAACCAGTTCCAGTTTCCTGTTTTAGAAAGTAAACTTTTATACGCATAATTTGCAATGTATTTAAAACCATTATTTAAATATTTTTTCACCACCACAAAGATAACTTAAGAATTTAATTAAAAACAACTACAAATATTTATCTTTTGCTCAATTAAAAATAATTTTAAAACGAGATTATAAAATGGCACAGTTTTAAAGCAAAAGCTTTCAAAGCTAAGTATCAACTTGACGTTCAACTTATTTAGCATTTTAAATATAGTGTTGGTGAAGCAGTGGCGGTGCATTAAAACGGCCATAATAAGGCTTATGTTTTTATCAACGTATTAACAAGAAATATTAAGCACACTTTGTATGCTGTCACTTTTAAATGTATTTGATGAAATAAAAGTTGTAACTAAAAATTATTTTACAAAAGCAATACTCTTTTAAATAAATTAAAATCTTCATGTTTCATTCCAGATTTTCTTTGACTGTAAAGTGAATCATCCTGTATACAAACAAAAAGAGAACATACCTTATCTCTTAGCATGTCGCGAACTCTGGTAGCCTGATGGCGACTCCGGTGCAACTCCAATTGCAGCTCCAGACACCTCTCTTGCCAGTTAACACCGCCGAAATCAGCCGCCGCCAGCTCAAACTCCAGAGGATCCAAGTGTGAGGAATGGCCAAATGGTCTGTAAAATATATATTTATATTGAACAATTAAGATTATTAATAAAACAATCAGTATGATTGGAAATCTCCGCACAACACTCGAAGGGATACGAATCAATACCTACATCAAACCAACACATGAAAAGAAGAGAGAAGTAGCTGAAATCACTGGATGAAGACGAGACGTAATCTTAAAAAGACACAAGAAATAATGATTGATCTAGTTGAACCAACTATGCTATGATATAAATAAAAAATAAGGCAAGTAGTAACTGCACATATTTACAAAGATATAGAATGAACGATAGGAATCTCAAACAGCAACTCTACCGAGATTTTCTCATGAATAAAAACATTACGTATTAATCAATTCGCTACTAAGATTTTTTACGATACGGTATCTTGAGGTCAACGAACTGATGGCAAGCTAACAGCAATAGAGAATATAATATTAGTTAAATATAAAACTAAAAAAATAAAAAAGGAATTTTTGTTGTCTATATCAAAAATAGATTTCTTAAATAGATTACGAACTATTCAAAACTAGATTTCCCGAATAACGTTATTGGAATATACAATAAAAAATACAGATTATCTAGCTTTGCTTTTTAAATTTATTCCAAATATTCCGGCCAGACTCATCCGAACATCTGATAATAAATTCCAACGACGAAAGATTTATCTTCCGAATTATATTTGTAGGAGACATACTTCGACTATTCGAATTGTCTTGATTTGTAAAAGTTGCGGTAGTTACAAGATTTTGCCGGATAAAGCCGTAAACCGCCGGAATTTTTCTTTCGGAATGTTGGTACAGTCCATTAAAAACCGTAATAAAGCTTATATTGAATTAAATAGACCAAAACTCAATAGCCCATATGAATATTATAAAGAGAACGGTTACTTAAGAAGTATTTGCTATGAAACAACTAAGATATGCAATCATGATATACAAAAGAGATCTTAAAGTCGAATATTGGATGGAGAAAATAATATAAATAACGCATTACATATTGCTTTATCGAAAAAAAATATCGATTCGGCAATAATAGTAAACCACAAACAATGGACATCAATGAAAATTAAATATCACATTTAATTTACATTTAACAAAAAATCGGGAAAACTTCGTTTTTTATAGGAGTCATTAATTTTATGTAAAGATTTAAAACACTTATAGGTGCATTAATGTTGTGAAAATAAAATAAATAGATTAATCACATACTTAGTAGAGCCCGCTTTAACATCTTCGCACGAATTGGCCCGGCTCGCCCGGTGAAATACCACAACCACACAGAAGACAGGCGTCAAGTGGAAGCAATTCCGCGTTTCGTCTGATGAGTGTGCGTCCCGGAGGCCTAATTTAGTCCTCTTTCCTCTCCCACCTTTTTCTTTTAAGGAAAGGATGGGAAGTGGAAGTGGACTTTCCGGATGAGAGGATGCATGGTAAGGGAAAATATTTTCTTTCTGTGCATCCTCTCCTCCGTTGATTAAAGGTAGGCAACGCATATGCAATTGCGTATATCTATGGGCAACGGTCAGTTCGCTATTTCAGCGATTTCAGGTGGCCGCTCGCTCGTTTGGCACCTTATGATATAAAAAAAAACTGTATCTTCGATACTTCGAGTCCTAAGAACAATCTTTACTACACAAATGTCTATTGCATTCCAACGTATTAATTATTCATCTACAAACAAGGAGTCTAAAATAGACCACATTTAAATCCATAGTTCGAACCCCAGTGAACACGATCCCCAACATAAGAATTAATCTGACGAATACAAGCCTATTTACGATTTATATTCAATCGTTTGCATAGCGGAATGAATTTAATTCAGACAGGACAAATAATGAACGCGTGCGTTAATAGATTTTTACAAATGAGAGAACAAACAAATGATGCTATTATTTTAATTTGTGATTAAATCATTTTGGGATCGATTGTGTCTACATTTTACAGTAAAATTTTATTTAAATGTAAATAAAATCTATCGTTATCGACTCAAGTAAAACAAGTGTACAAACGTATAAGAAAAATGAAAACTGTACAGTTAAACTATTAAGATTTAACTGAACAGTCTGGCTGTTCAGTTAAAACTTAAGTGTAGAGCTCCAATTGTAAAACATAAAAATTCCCAACATTTGAATTACTTCCAGACAATGTAATAAAATTGACAATGTCATTCACCAAAACCAGCAATGCAAGTTCCCTGTATTTCAGCTTATATTAATAAGGCACAGTATGCGATTATGATTCCCGCAATATGCAAGTTAGAGAGCTGTGCACACAAGGGGCGAATTGCGATGACGTAGGGCATACAGAATAGCGGAGCTACATTAAACGCCTCTACTAGTTTCACACGAGGGCAGAGAGTGAGACAGCTGTAGACACCCCAGTACTGCTATCGATAGAACTCATATACTAAGACAGAACAATACTGTTTTGACACCAGTGTCTGTTCAGTGGGTAGCAGTGCTGCAATGTATACTGCTCTGCACCAGTGTGCATCAGGCATAATGGAACTGCTTGCGTTCATAAGCGAACTGATATTATGCAATCAGCGAGCCGCATATATTACGCTCATATTCAACGCCTTCTCGTCACAGAGCAGCAAGATAATTTCATATCATATAAACTTGATTGGTATGATACGATTGTGAATGTTGATGAGGACGTTACTAAGAAAAATCTTGTTTTAGTTCACGCGTTCAAGATAAGCTGCTTCATCGCGCTGCATGAGACATCGACGTGTTGAGGGTAGAGATAAAAAAGCTAGCAAGACGTGCGCCTGAACGCTATGAAGAAATTCATTAATATTTTTGAACTACCTTACAACATTTTTTGTAAATATTTAATTGTCTTCTTTATACATAAAAATACTCAAATAATTGCTTACCTAGGCGGTGGAGGCGGCGGCTCTCTAGAGCGGCGCGGCAATAGCCGTGGGCTGTTCGGCGTGCTGGCTGAGTGGCCTGCCCCGCTTATGTCCGTGAACCGAGACAGCGGGTCGAATATCTGCGACAACCGCCGCGACCGCTCCTCCGACATTATTCACAATTAACACAACACAACACTTAACACTAAACAACATCACATCACAACACGAAAGTCAACACGCAAATGACTATTTAAAATAACGTAAACCGCGGAAGCGATTGTCCAGCGCCGCAAACAGATGGCGCTCTTCGCAATGACGCGTGAGTCGATTCGCCATTCGATCCGCCATCTTGAATGCGTCTGATGTTTTTCACAGTTTAATGCACCTCTGCTCGTGGTATTTTGAGCGCTGAAAAAGAAATAAATAGGTATTAGTCGACACGTCGATGTGGTATTAGGAAAGGTGAGTCAATTAGCTTGTGTGAAATTTTGGACGGGTTTCAAAGTGAATCAAGTTTCGAGTTAAGATCGTCCCGGAAATGTTGTAGACGGGAATATGGAACCCGTTTCCTTTGACCGAATTAATTTGATGATATATTTGTAATTTCAAGAATATGTATATTTAAATGCGTTTTAATATCTTATAAAATAATAAAACATTTAACAGACAGTAAAAATGTTTTAAAAGAACATTCGTTATCTTCGAAAGTCCTTTCCGAGAAATCTTATTTTTTTTTACAATCATGTAACCTTAACCTTCTTAGTTCCATCTTTTCTCAGATTTATTTCATTTTATATAAAAATACATACATAAAGTGAATTTCTAATTTATTCCAGATTACGTAATAAACGTTAATTGAACGGAGCTAAAAGTGACACAGGAAAAGCTTTATCTGTTTTTATATTAAGCGCAACAGTAAGAAGATTATTGAGTAACAAGGGTCAAGTGGGAAGCAAAATAATTTGTCGCGAGAAAACGAGGAAAATGAAAGGAAAAACAGAATGTTAGGCCTCTAGCACACAGACGCGAAAATGAATAAAGGCCGATACGATTGGTCCGCGACACGACTGGCTTCTATAAATATGTGATGTGACAAAGTAATAAGAACGTTTTTTGATTCTTCTTTAATTATGAATGAAATCAAATACAGGTATTACTAGCTGTCGCCCGTGACTTCCTCCGCTCGGGATTAAAAAAAGATAGTAACCGATTCTTAGACCTACTGAATACACACATAAAATGTTATTAAAATCGGTCAAGTCATTTCAGAGGAGTATTGTAAACATTGTCACACGAGAATTATACATATATATTGTCCAGTTTTAGACAATGATTAAGTTACTGTTTAGCTAGAATAAAATATGTTTATTTAACATCAATAATATAAATGGAAAATATTTTTAATACATAATTTTACAAATAAACTAATCAAATAAGTAATGAAAATAATATCTTTAGGTGTCGAACCTGCATCAAACGAAGTGTATCAGATGACATTAGTATGATTAGTAATTCTGAACCTTTTTGAACTCAGACATCGAACGTCTGCAGAGACAAAGATGTGTAATGGTCCAAATGATTAGATTTTACTTTCATTACTAATCAAAGAAATGTTGCACCGCAGACATCTATGAGACGTCAAATTAATTTTGTCTTCAAGCTCATTACATTTCATATTAAAACCAGCTGTCGCGCGCGACTCCGCCCGTCCGTGTTTGTTTAAAAAATAAAAATAAAAATATATGGGTGGACTACCCTTAACATTTAGGGGGATGAAAAATAGATGTTGACCGATTCTCAGACCTACCCAATATGCTCACAAAGTTTCATCAGAATCGGTCAAGCCGTTTCGGAGGAATATGCGAACGAAAATTGTGACACGAAAATTTTATATTTAAGATACTAATTTGACCTATATAAGTTGCTGGAGAGAGATTAATTTGCGTTTTAGGATGACTTAACACTGATTATTTATTCCTAGACATTAAAATAGAGGCAAATTAAAAGTTTTTAATCACTTTTTAAGCTAGAGTACCTAGGCTACATAATACGGAACAAAAAATACGAACTGGTGAAGCTCATCGTACAAGGAAATCGAAGTGTAGGTCGAATACGAACATTCTTGCTTAAGAACCTACGCCACTGGTTCGGAAAGAGTACCCGTTTGCATTTCACAGTCGCGGTGTCCAGGGTTCAAGTTGCTTTAGTGATCACATGGCACTATAAGAAGTATTACTTCAACATCTTAAACAAATTGCTCACTTTCAGGTTCAAAATAAAAATTAAACGCAGAAAAATTCATAAAACTTACATAACTAGTACTAAATCCGTTCATAAAACGACGTTAATTTTATTAAAACACAATTTTAATATTCAAATATGGTTATAAAGCTAAGCCCGCTGTACTCGGCGCAGCTAATAAATGAGAGTTGCGATAAATGATGCAATTTCATTACCGCGAGATGCTCCTCTCACAAATATTACCAAGGAAAATAATTAATTTATATTACAACTAGCGACTTCGAAGAGTAACCGAAGCAAGATAAAAACTATGCAATTTTTTTTTCATTATAGGTTACGAATTTTCTTTTTAAAATATTAAGCGGCAGCACAGGTTTCGGACATATTATTTTGAATTTCGAAAATAATTTTTGTTCATAAACAAAATTATATGTCGTTATCATATCGTTCAAGTATCTCAAAAAATCTATCAGATTTTAATAAACTTTTATACGTAATAATGTTTCTAACTACTTTTACCTTTGTCTCTACATAAACAAAGTTCTAGAAAATTGTGGGTTTCAAAATTAATATAATAAAAGTTAACTGGTAGATGTCACATTTAAGTAAAGCATTTTGTTTAAACCACCACCTAAACACCTGTACAATCAAGACCTTTCGCAGTGTTTAAATTACAGAAGAATTGCCTTCTTCCTTGCATCGAGACAAACTAGCCAGGCCTATAAGTCACCATATTAAAAAGCAATAATTCGTGTACCACTCACCAATCTAAATACCGCCAGAATCCCTAATAGTACATATTGTTATCTCTACTTATTCAAAGGGAGTAAAAGGGATATCAGATATGTTTTTGTACAAGTATTTCGTCTGTGGAAAATCAAGGCAAATTAATTAAGTTTACTTTATAAAGTTAACGTTATGAAATTAATACAAAAGTTTGTTAACAGGCACTAACTCTAATATTATGTTAGTTCAAGGCAAAAGTTCCGTTAGGCTAAATGTATACGGTTTCTTATAATTAAAAAGTTTTGTGCTTAACTTGAGAAACTTTAACGTGTAATGTTAGTTGATTTCTAAGATGTAAATGAGAGTAAAATTTTGAAATTAATTTTAATACAACTAATAAATATTACTAATATTAAAGCGAATGTTTAGACCAGTCTTTCCCAAAGTGGGCGATAACGCCCCCTCATGGACGCTGCTTTACGATAACCCGCAACTTGAGAAAGTTGCGGGTTATAGTAAAAGAATTTAGAATTCTCCGTTAATATACATATATAGTTAATTAATTTAATTTGAAGTTATAATGGTTTTTAAATATGTGAAAATATGAGGGGCTAAAAAAAATTTATTCTCAAAGTGGGCAGTAGACAAAATTAGTTTGGGAACCACTGGTTTAGATGGATGGATGTTTGTTTGAAGGTATCTCCAGAACAGCTAAACCGATCTCGATGTAATTTGCCATACATATAGAACATAGTCTAGTTACTAGTAGAACACATCGGTTACTAATTATGTCTTTAATTTAATTCCGCGACGACGGGGTCGCGGGCGACAGCTAGTGTGATAAATAACTATTAATATACCATAAGCCTATGGTCTGCAATTCGTAACTACTATTCATAGCGAAAGGTAATTGTCAATTGAGATTATGAAAAATAAAATTATTGTTTTCAAACACTTTCAGTGCCACCGACTTACCTTACTAGTTTACTTTAATATGTGAAATTCCTAGAAGCATTGAACGTGTTAAATCATAAATCATACGAATAAATTGCCATCACTTATCGGAAATCTTATAAGTAGAAGTTGATTCATTCGGCAACTTCACGATATATTCGACTCGGATACAACTTAGCGTCAAAATAAGTAGCACTTAGCCGACTTCTGTTGATATTAAGTTATATTCCGATATTAAATGTTACCTTTTATTTATAAATCACATGAATTCTCTATATACTTTCGGAGCATCTTTTTGTTTTTAATTCTAATTGGAAACATCAATACAAATATATCCATACGTTATCTTATATTATCTATATCTTGGTCCATTTTTGCTTATGTTTTATTAACAAATTTCATGCCACTGCCATTTCTTCTACTACTCGCGAGGCCAATCAGTGGCAGTGAATGTGTTAAACATTTAACCCATTTGCTTTAAATTTATCGATGTAAGAATAGGAGGATGGGAGGATCGCTATAAAAAGAGTTCGCAGTCAATTATTTGAACGGAATATAAATAACATTATTGCTTCTTTCCATTAAATTTATAGAAAATAATAATCCGTAAGTTTGTAGATAATTAAAATTAACAAGCAGTCATATAAATTCACATTTAATTAAGCCTAATCCAAAATTGGTTTCGCGAGCGTAACGTTGGATTCGATTTGACGCGTCTTTGATCTTCCAACTACTCTCGTTTAATTACGATGGAACATAATTTTGATATACATATTAATACGTGACACAAGATTAATGGAAACACGAGAAGAAAGATTAAGATATAGAGATATACTTATTTTATTATTAACTCTAATTAACATTCGAGAATCAATTTGTTTTGTAACAAACTAAATGTAGATGTTCATTGCTCAAGTATCTATAAAATATAAAAATATAAAATTGTTTTTTTTTTTTTGTAAGAGAATAGTTAAAAAAAACAGTTAAAAGAACCAAAGGTTTGCGCAAAATCTAGCTAACTTATAACATTTACTAAAGGGGAAATTGCTTTTTAGAGTATAATAGGTTTCAACAATAAGCACATAGAGCAGTGAGGCATTGTCCCTGCAAAGACTTCAGTGTGCACACGACCTAATTCTGAGTACCAATTAGTAGAAAGGTCGCGAAATCCACGTAAATGTCATCTGCATTGTTATACTGGGGAAGGTTATACGTTCCTTTTTAATGCGCTAAAAATACTATAGAATAATTTCTAATATTAAATCAGGTCTCCTATAACTTTAGCGTATTAAAAAATATAATAAGTCTAATAACGATAATTTTATGTATTGTAAAATCAGGGAGGTTATAGGAAAGTAGAGTATTAACATTTCGTATGCCTTACTTATGGACACTTGAATTTATCGTGAATATATTGTGCAGAAGACTTATAGTTAAAGGCTTAGAAATTGTACTTAGGTATATCTGGCTGTTTGTTAGGAGACTTG